GGTTTTATTTACTTTAAGTATTTGGTTTACATTGATTATTAAACTCGGTAAAATGGAACGACAAAGAGCATTTTATCCGTCGCCAAAAATGGATTGTCTTCGTAGGGTTTGGTTATTGGGATGCAGATAGTAGACCGATCGACTGTCACGGATTGTTTTCAATCTGAGATTGTGGATTAATTATAGGGGTTCGGGCGGTAGCCGGGACGTATCTTGCGAGACGCGTAACACGTCATTCGTGAATTGTAAGAGATATAAATAGTCTCTGGACACAATGGCAGAGTAAGTTATAAAAAAATCTTATACCACTTTTTAATATAAGTATATTAGTAGTGCAGGGTGAAGCTAGGTATTTTATTATATATGTATATTTATAGTACCCAGGACCTTCGACCTTAATGTGTTTGAAAGAATAATAATTGTTCTGCTCGAAATGTTAATTATAAATTATCCACATCCATAAAAAAAAATTAGCCTTATTACGCCATATATATACGAAGAAGATTAAATACTTACAAAGACCATAAACTAATAATTTTATTTTTGAGGTGTGTGTGAGAATGCGTAATGTGGGGCTGTATGTGTGTGTGTGCTTTTTATATGATCTTAAACCTATTCGATTTATTTTGTTTGATAATTATTTAATGTATTTTATACCATTCTTATTACGCACAACGGACCAATTAGGAGTCTAATTGCGGAGAAAGGAGTCCTACTACCCTAACCATTCTTATTATAATTAAGTTGTACCAAAAAAGGAGCCCATTCGTTATTGTCATTTCTTCAGATTTCAACGTTGGGTTTATGTCTCATAACTAAGACTCCAGATGTGGCATAAATTACGGGGCGCTACATCCTATATTAGTCTCTTCATTTTTCTCTAAAGGGGAGTTTGTAATAAGCCAATGATTTATTTTTGTTTCAGGTTTGCTGTTTCCTCACGATATTTTCCTTTACCGTGCGAGCTAATGTGTAAAAATAAAGAAAATATTCGTACACAATCGAACGCACGACCTGAGGGTTAACAATTACCCATTTAATAGTGGTTTACGATGTCCATATATTTAAATAGTTAAGGCTATATTTTATATAAGTCAAAAGATACTCTAGTCATTCTTATGAAAGGATCAAAGATTCACGAAATACGTCAACGGCTTTGTTAACAAATTAGTACACGCTATTATAATTAGTGCGTTTAATTATAATTACTTTTTAACTGTACAATTATCTCGTCTCGACGTGATTTAACCTTGTTCTGTTATAAATCGATAATAATACAAACCCAGTCGAGTAAGACGCATCGCTTTATCTTTTCACCCTTGTCAAATTCACTCTTGTCTGCCTAGGACTCGCAAATAGAAAGCGGAATATAGGGGGCGTTGCAACTTAAGAATCTTGCATAAAATATGCCGATATGGATGTCTTTGTCGACAGTCTATATATTATTCTCTCTCTCTTCAGTCGGTAGCTCATGTCTGATCTTAGTAGTCAGCAATATCTGGACAATTTGTTTCCATCGTTTTCTGTCCAGCGCCTCTCTTATAACAGTGTAGAGTTTAGTGGAGGACGAGTCTTTCACTTGATCGGTCCATCTGGTCTGTAAACGGCCATGTGATCTTTTGCCTTCTGTGTTAGGTGCCAACAACGATAACTTTCTCATTGCTTCTGCGCATTGTGTGACCGAAATATGACATAATTCGTTGTCGGGATATGGTAGACAGGCGAGTCTGTATGCGGAGTTGGGTCAGGATCTATTTATTGGTGTGCTTCGCAGTCCACGGTATTCTTAACATCCGCCACAGTTGTTTTATATTTTTACGTATAATATATTTTATTTTAGGCAGTATTAGACAGATAACATTTCACAGTGAATTGACGTCTTCAATTCGCGATGTGTTCATTGATTTTTTTGACCTCTTTATAGTAAACATTATCATATGACTTGTAGAGGACGCGTGCCATGTATTAGTAATCTTTAAGCCTCTGTAATTTATCAGATAAGGTACAAGACGGTTTTTGTCGAACTGGGGTCATCCAGTCGATCGGTAAATCTTAAGCATTGACCTAAAAATAGCAGAACCTTGTACTTTGAGTCTATATAATTATAATTGCAAAACGCAATGGTCATTGCAGTTAATTTTTGATACGGAAGACAGTAGGTAAGTTTAGGACGAACAATTTGTTATGAAATTAACTTTTGCTATCACGAAATTGTTATTCCAAAATGTTAAATGAAGAAATTAATGGATAGAAATTTAAACTTAATTTTGTTCTATCAATTTCAATTTAAATATGCAAATTATTATTTTTTTGTGTTTTTCCATTTATATTGTCTGACGTTAACGCTTGCTTGTGCGCACGAAATATTGGGACTGTTTTATGATAACTTTTTTATAATTGTTATCAGAATAATGGTAATTGTAAAGTTAATTTGGTACCTAAAGTGCCAAATTTGAGCAGTGTGGGCCTAGTGGCTTCAGTGTGCGAGTCATCCTTGAGGTCGTAGGTTCGATCCCCGGCTGTGCACCAATGGACTTTCTTTCTGTGTGCGCAATTAAAATTCGCTCGAACGGTGAAGGAAATCATCGTGAGGAAACCGGCTTGCACTGCACCCAAAAAGTCGACGGCGTGCGTCAAGCACAGGAGGCTGATCACCTACTTGACTATTAGTTTAACAAATGATCATTAAACCGATACAGAAATCTGAGGCCCAGACCTAAAAAGGAGGAAGCGCAACATTTTTTTAAAGTGTCAATGTACCTCTTGTAAGAATAATACAAATATATTTTAAAACTTCTGATCCGTAGGATCACGTCTTAATTATTTATTAGGTCACGTCATGAATTTTGCGTACATACAATGCATTTATCAGGAATATACTCATTTCGTAAAGGAAAAATGAAACAATGTAGCGTCATGGTCAATCATCATCGTCATCGAAAACCCAACCTCACTACTGGTGCTTTCTGGTCGGCCAGACAGTGCAACTTTATTACTCCACAACACCATAACTTCGTGTAAGACTGCTCGTCTAATTAATCTGAACAAATATATATACAGCCACACAAATGTATCTTCTAGGAATCACTTAGAATACTCGATCGTCAAATTATCGAAGGATCCAAGATGATATTCGAAATATTTATGTGCTTAGGGCCCAGTACAGAACTTGTATTATATTTTTAGAATTTTTTGCAAGTAACGATGTTTGTGGTTTAGTTTTTGTTAAAACCCAACCGGTTTCCATTAGAGGCGTATGAGCTGTATATTTTGAATAGAATATTAACGATTATAATTGATAGACATTATACAATATTATGAGACCTATTATAATTAATATATACTATATAACATATATATTGTAAGTAACTTAAATAAATACATTGAAATAAATAACTAACCTTAACATATAATAACTAAAATATATTATTAAAGGGAGTCCCTTTAGGCAAGGTGCCGAAGATACTGGCAGCGTTCCCCCTTTGAATAGCTAGACTAATTCTTTGTCCGAGGTAGCTGCTAGATCTTCGGTCTCCTGTGATGTCAACTAACCTTTTAAAAAAATAATAATATTGAAACATAAAATAATACATAACAATATTTTGGAACAGTTTGTGTACCCATGAGTTATACACGGCGTCATACAATACCTGGTTTAATGATCGTTTTTATTTATCAGCCTTCTGTATGATATATACCGTCTCTATACCAAGTATTTTTGCGCATAGAAAGTTAAATCCATTGGTGCCCAGCGGGGGTTTAAATGTACGTCAAGAATGAGAAAGGAGTTAAACGATAGGTTTTGAGGTTCGATTATATTATCTTACAAAAATATGTACGTAAATTGCATAGCGTTTATTTCAGACCAATACAACTGTAGAAAAGGATACAGTGCAATATTATAAGTATTGTCCGTAAAAAAGTTTGGTAGATTTGACCTTTATTAACCTTTTATTGTTAATATTAAGCGCCAACGAAAAGCTCTTTGTAACCTGAAATGACAAGAAACCAAATAAAAAACATTGATTAACGATCAAGACAGACATTTTGTTAGACCCTTGGAAGATGATACATTAACTTTTTAGTCGTATTTTTATAATATTAGGTATATATGGAATAAATTATAATGAATGGAATGCCTTTATTTTTACATACTAACTTCTATTCGACGTCTGCAAATTAATTTTGTCTTAATAACATTTATAGCGACTGTAGGCTTATCTTATCAATGATAATATTATGGGAACAATAAAAGAAAGTATAAAGTGCTTTTTAATATTGTCAAGTGGGCCACTGTACGGCTTTGTACAAATACAGAGTCGTGTCGCCAGTCTCGCGACAGGCCCACCAATTTATGGCCCACTCTGACATTTTTGCTGAGCAATTGAATAATCAATCCGGTTCGGAACAGCATCTAGAACAAGAGATTAACGTACATAACAGATCTTTATGCAGTGGAAAGGCGTCATGGTAACTGTAAAAAATCTGGTCGCATGCAAATAAAGGGCATACAATTTCCGTATAATACAATCTTATCGAAAATATGTTTGTAAAAGCTTTCTGGCGCCGCGCAAACGAACATCCTTTCACCAAGCATTCTAAGTAGGCATCCTTGATCGGTGAATTCTAATTAACATTCCCCAACTAAACGACTCAATTTTCTTAATCTAACTCAATTATAATTAAACCTAATATTTTTCTATTATACGATATTTGACAAGGAAAAAATTTAGAAGTTCAAATATATCAACCAAACGAACAAGGCGTTCCATTTAAATGACGTACGGTGTATAACTATATCGAGAAAAAATTGCTAGTCGAGCGTCGTACGCGCGTAGCATTCGTACGAGCGCCACGAACGCGTACGCTAAGAGATCCTGTGCTCTCTGTTGTTATTTTGAATTAGTTGTTTGACAGCATCCGTGTGTGCAGGTCTCGCGATATTTTTTATAAAATTTTTGCACGTCGCTAAATATTTTTGCGTTGTTGCCTCGTACATTATGACTGCGACCGGTGTAGAAAGTGTGGATAAGGGAGATGTTTATAAGCAATTAGACCAATTCGGCAAGTTTCAAGTGTTTCAATATATTTTAATATGTTTACCATTAATGATGGTATCCATGATCCACGTGAATTATATTTTCGTAGCTGAAGATGTTGAACACAGGCAAGTAATTTTTCTATTATTATTTTTATCTTTTGTAATCTAAATATTTTGTTGCTCATTTTTTTCAATTATATTCCTTGTGAAAATGGAATATAATATTCATATTTTTGTTAATAAGAAAAATTTGATTATTTTATTTTATTTCTTAAATATGCCAATATATGAATAAAAGTATTAAAATTTACAAATAAAATTAATTAATTTCATGATGTTGGTACATCTGCAAGTATTGTTTATATAATAACTACTACGTTTAAAAAGAAAAAAAATTTTTTTAAACACAATTAAATTTACTACTAATGCATACTACTTTGTGCACTCAAGTAAAAAACAGTTAAGATTTTTGTTAATAGTACACTTAATTAATTGAAATGTCGTTTTGCTAGGTACTCATCAAACATAATGATGAAATTGCGTAGCATTGGCTACGAATTTTCCTCACTTTTTGCTACGAGTTTTGTGATAATAGTTCGATGGCGATGAGTTAGGGTTATGCAACTTTTAATTGTGATATTCATAATATAAATTTATGAACGATATAAGCATAAATAGTTTCCGAAATATTCAATTGTTATTTCAATTCCAAAATTAACAGGAAGAAAATGACGCAAGACATTGATTTTATGTACTAACTGTAATTAGTAAAAGCACCTGTATAAATTACTAATCATACGTATTTTAACTCGATAGAATTAAATCTATTTTATTGACACCGTATTGTATTTGAAAATGTTCCACTGACTTGCCTTAAATACTTTTTAATTTGTTACTCAAGTTACATTATTAAAAGAAAAGTACGAAAATGTCCAAAAATCAACTTCTCATTAGATCATGAACAAAATCGTAAACAAAAAAAATTACATATTAAAATAACCCGTGGCACTGCAACCTATTAGGTCTGGACCTCAGATTTCTGTATCTGTTTCGTAGTCATTTGTTTTTTCTTAAAAGACAAGTGACTGTGTCTGACACTCGCCGTCAACTGTTTTGTATCTAAAGCCGGTTTCCTCACTATATAGTGCTTCACCGTTGGAGCGAGTGTGTAAGGCGCACATAGACAGAAAGTTCATTGGTGTACAACCTCAATGATAAGAAATATATTATAATAAAATTCACTAATTTGTATAGATGAATAATGTGAAAAGGCTTGTTTATTTGTAGGTCTGTAATCTCTGCAACTACAAAACTTATTTAAAAACATTCTTCATCTTCTTTTTTTCCTTTCGACGACGACCTAAATCACCCGAGACGAAGTAAAATCATCTTTTTTATTTCCATCTACTTTTTTACATGCACCGCAAATATGGACATATCTGTTTCATACGGAATCGCGGTCAAGCGGCTGTCCGAACATAAAAAAAAACATTTGCCGATAACTAAAGAAGACAAAGTCTATTAAAATCAGGATGTACCGTACACAAGTGTCACCATCTAAAGTTCTGTGAACCCCACAGGCCTGATCTTTCCTTAACTGTCAAGAAACCAGATTATTATTATTTATATCTGATCCACTGACAGCTTTTACTTTCAGTACAATATTATTTTAAATTTATCGAAGTTTTCGAGTCTTGATGAAGAAAGTATATTATGTAATGAGAAAGTCGACATCGGTTGGGTAAATAATTTTAGTGCCAATATAGAGGCAAAAGATTTTTAAACATAGCCAATTACTTGACAAAGGAAAATAATTAACGTATTAAATACGATGTTTATTTCAATTTATTAATTTCATGCTCGTTATAGTTTCTTCGTTTCAGATGTTATGTTTTTCTCAAACTGTTAATGAAGAAAGTAACGGTTAGACACAAAAACACCAAATGTAATGGGCCATTAATCATTTTGTTGTGCTAAATCATATATTTCAAGGCATATATATAAAAATACATTTACTGGCATATAAAAGAATTAAGTACTATGCAAAAACAAGTTTCATATTTCGCAAGAAATTGCATTCACGACAAATATGCCCACAGCGATAAAAGATTCATTACCATTTTATTACCAATGTATTTTATACCCGTTCAATACAAATAATTAAAGTCTTTAATGTTCGCGTAAAAGAGGTTATGTCGTTTAAAAGAAAAGCTGTGTAAAAAGGCCTACTATAAAGGTAACGATTATCTAGTTGATAAAAGGGCCGGCTACTTCTAATTAATTTGCGATATTTGTTTTAAAATATGTGTTGTTTGATGATTTGCTCTTTTAAAAGAGTACCGAGAGTTTTTTACGCCGGCTTTTTCTCTCCCGACCGACCTTTCTTTTCGACCCTCTGTCTTCTTTGTCGATGAGTAGGGATGCCTAGAGATTCAAATTTAATGACTAGGAATAACTAATTTAATGACTAGGAATAATTGTGGAACATAAGATACAGGTATCACGTATCTTATGTTTCATAATAAACATATTTTATTTTTTTTATTTACTAAACTGGTCAGGGCGTATTACTAATGAAACGGCGCTTAATGATTATTCTAAAATTGCACTTACGCTGTTGGTAAACAGGCGCCAGGCCTGACGCGTCTAGAAATAGACAAATTATTAAGTATATCTATTTAGAGAGAGTAGTAGAGGACCAGTCTGGCCACTGGTTACAACGTGCGCAACGTTAATTACAATTCCAATACTCGTTAAGTGACATACCAAGTTGCAGAAGATCTCAATTGAATCTCATTAAGCTTTTTATTAAACCCAATATTAATATCTAATTCCATAGTTAACTTAATTAAATATTTTAAAGAAAGTTGTTTTTAATATAAATGTATCGTTTTTTTCATCCAGATTTTATTTTAGTTTTTTAATACTGACTAGGTTTCTAAAAAAATATTTATTTATCAAATAAGTTTACCGACTAGGTCAATGTTGTAGGCTACTTTCTAACCATCTGTCATACAGACGTAAGGAATTTGTTTTAATTTCAACTGACACCCTTCACTAAAAAACAATTTCTGACAAAGTTAAATTATAGAAAACTCTGTTCTCTTTCTTCTTCATATATGATTTACTTGAATTGATTTTTCAAGGACTAAAGGATCTCTCCTTCGAATTAAATGGATACTTGACAATCAATTGGGGTCAATATGATGATGGATATTTGTGCAATGTCATGACACTCATTACAATTCTGTTGTGTCCATAAAAAAGATTGATCTTACTTAACTGTTTGTAAAATATATATTTTATTTATTTAATTATTAATTATTAGTACAGCTAGTTTTAGTAAAAAATATATATTTGACAAAATATTTTTTAAATGGTAGGTAAGCAAGCATTCTTTGGTGTGGCGAGCAACAATGTATACAGCGTATAAATCCCACAGGATGAATAAGCGTTAATGATTTGTCCAATTGAAGTCAATGACCTCGTGAACTTGCCCGTACCACAAGCTGGATGTTGTATTTCAGAAGAAAAATAAGGACAAAGATTGCGAAAATAAAAATTCCAGATTCTTTTTAACTTTTTTATTTAAGTGAAAATTATGAATATATAAGCCAGCTTTTATTTCCTGGTCCTTCGTATTATCCGGCACGTTTCTCTTGTTCATACAAGTAGAAAATAAAATAACTAATAGTCAACTAATATTATAAAAATTTACCTAATAATATTGTTAGGAAACCTGCATACTCATCGCTATAACCAATGCTCAGTTTCGCTGATATTTTTTCTTAGCAATTTGGGAACCAAACCGGAATATGTATTATTAAACTAAGACCAAGAAAGCCTTTGTTATAAAATATTTACTCTACTAATGTTACTTGTCCAATCAAATGGTAGATGCTAAGCAGATAGTTATAGTTATGCCTAGATGTTTGAAGAGTTAATTTCAAATGAATAAAAAAAAATATTTTTCATTATTAATTTTAATATAACAGCGATTTAATTTTTGTTAACAACAACTAGTAACCTAATTTTTTATCATTACGCATCATTGGAATCGTGCTCCTATCACGTTTTCTTTGCATGAGTGATTCAACTTTTCATTGGCTACATTTTACAAACGTACAAGAAAATTAAAGACTAAAATTTCTCATCAAAATTATTATAAAATCATTATTGGTTGCCATGGCAACGTGACGATTTGCATACAGATATACCTAGCAATGATATTACTAATTTAAGTATTAATGAAGTGAAGTCTACCACGCCAAAAACATTGAGAACAAACACACCTGATTAAATAAATTTGTTTCTGAAATAAAATCAACTCTAAGCTAATAAATATTTTAAGTGAGACAATCATAAAACACTGGTACTTATAATTCTGCTTATTTACCAATCGCAGTAGAAATAGGTTAATATGAAGTTTTTACTGTTGCCAACTGCTAAGTCCCAAATAATAACCTGGCAAGCTCACAATGCTACATGAAAACCTTGGCATTGAACTGTTAATAATATATTTATTATAAAGGATAGGGTTATCAGTGTAAGGTCGACGCATTACAATAATTTTCCTTTGTTACAAGACAAAATATTTTACGGTAAATTTTTTGCGTACTTGGAAACAACGCGAACGTAATAATTAAATTATTACCTAACCTTGTTTTTCGTTCATAGAACCGCGTTATCGCTCATAAATTTACTCATAATAATAAATTTAAAGTAATAGTTATATCTAAGTCATTCAAAAGCATTAATATGTCGGAATTACGACTGTTTTTTTGGTGTCGTCCTTGACCTCTCCTATGCAAATTACAGCTAATTTGTGATTTATTTGCAGGTGTCGAGTTCCAGAATGTGAAGATGCTAATCCGTCAGTGGAAATACCAAAATGGTGGCCCCGAAATGTCGACGCCAAATGTTATCGACCAGTTCTGGACATGCAACGATACAGCAGCTCCAATCAAACGTGTTCAAATAACACGTTCCTTGAAGTATTGGAAGAATGCCATGATTGGGTTTTTGAAAATAATAATTCGATTGTCGCTGCGGTAAGTTCTTAAACACTTTTCCCAGACATCTAAAGCTCTAACGAATACGTCTTGACGAAAGAAGTTGTTCCTATACATTTTTGATAAATTTTGCGCACACAATAGATTATAAGAACGACTTACATTTTTTACAAAAATATATTACGTAGAACCGAAATTACCTGTGGTGATGCAACATAACGTATACACCTTAAAACGTGTACTGGTTTTCAATAGAGGAAAAGGCGAGGTTTATTATACGAAAAATAAAAAGATCACTATGGGATCGGCAAATATTTGAGAATGATTTACAATTTTGTTTTTGAATATATAATGAGCTAATTCAAATGCATAATGGTTCGGGTGAAAAACTATTATAGTGCGATATAATGTTTTGGCGTTGTATAACATTATTAATTATTCAAAAACTTCGCTATCAATTTATATAATCAGATTTCTTTTTATTGGTTAATTTGCTTGACCTCTAAATAACTTTACCTACCATTAGACAAGTTTTTGAACATATAAAATCGATTGTAATAAAGTGTTACGTTACAATATGCATATTTGGATGCAAATTTTACTACTCTGAAGTTGAATATAAATGCAATATTTGTTACATATGTTGGAGGTTGCACTTTATTAAACTTGTAACCAGAAGCAACGATTATATAATAGAAGGTAATAAATTTCGCGCTTCTTCACCATGTATATTCGTAAACCGACTTTCATATATTTTGTGAAATGTGATAATAATATTAACGTATATTAATATATATTTAATGAGCATTTTTGGCCTAGTAATAAAGGCTTTACCGTACTACTCTCATAGGTTCGATTCCCGGCTGTGCACCAATGTACTTTCTGTTTAAGTACACTAGCTCGTACGGTGAAAGAAGGATCTGAGAAGCCGGACGCTTTAGATCCAAAAATGTCACCGGCCTATGTCAAGCACAGAAAGCTGACCACGTTCCTACTAGTTTGTTAAGGAAACAAGTGATTACGGAACAGATGCATAAATCATACCTAATAAGTTGTAGCGCCATTGTTTCTTTACTTCTAATATATTTAATATTTCTTAATGTCTATACGCTAAATTTCTGCAGGCTAAATCCAGCAGTAGACGTCGACGGGCTGAAACAATACTTAAAACAATATAAATCGCGGAGTTATATGTTTTATTTACCATGACATTTATAATAGAATTTGCTCAATAGAAGAGATTAAAGATAACACTGTTTATGTTTTATTATAAATTTTATAGTTTCTGAATTATACGGTGTATTGTTATTATTAGAAGAGATAAATAACGGTACGTGCTTGGAAATTTGAGATCTTGTGATTCCGGCTTCCTGATTGAGGCTTTGACGGAGGCTTAGGTTGCCTAGAGTTTAGATAACACAGTTTATTGCACATAATATTGTCAGTGGAATTAAAATTAAGCTATTTTAGTATTTATTTTCTTATCTTTGTGCTAATGTTAGTATTGGAAATAATAACAATAGTGATATTCTATTTGTGATAGATATTTAAGATATTTGTGATGTAGATAGTGTATATTTGTTATTATTTAGATGAAATTATGTCAGGTGTTACTTTGCACCCATTTTATAAGATTTTAATTTTAAAAATCAGTGGTGATTTAACCTTTTCGGACTAGGCCTCAGATTTTGGTATTTTTTTTTATAAACAAGAACGCAATAAGCCTTCGATGCTTGACACACACCGTCCACTTTATGTCTAAGGCATGCCGATTTACTTACGATGTTTGCCTTCACTGTACGAACGTACATATAAAGTCTAATGATGCACATCGAACCTATGACCTCAGTTATTAGAACCGCACGCAAAAACCACTGCTTCAACACTGGTGTCGTCAATTATTAATCGAAATGCTTAATATTGGTACACCTCAATTTATTTTGTCGGATCCTAGGCATGTGTAACTGAGACATAGAGGTTAGCTACTATGAAGCTTGGTATTAAGGAATCCCAGCGCAACTTGTACAGTTAAGCTTCTTAGAACAGTCGAGACACTTGTTTGTAATTGTTGAATATTTTTCTTTGTCTATACCAAGGTCCTATGACATAATTATACAATGAACAGAGAAACGGTTTTCAATCTAGATTGCAACGAGAAAAGAAATCTCTGATATTATAAATAATCAATGAATCTATACATTTAGTTATCATATACCATTAGTCATTGACCTGTAGCTATATCTAATATAGTAATAGTACTAACGTAATATACTTATAGTATACACATTAAATTGATCACGATCTTCACGAAAATCGTACAATGTACATGTGTGACGAGAACGTGCTTCGTTTCGCCCTAATGATTTTTTTACTTAGCTACGAAAAAGAAAACTGGTTTTTAGGTTAGCCCACGTAATTTTTCAAATTTTTCTCTCCAAGAAAATATTCTTCAGAGTTTAAGGAATAAAAAAATATTATTCGAATTGGTCCAGCCGTCTTTGAGTTTTGCGCTGATCAACATATTTTGCGATTATTTTTTATTTACAAGTATATGGATTAGACTTACACTTTATTAGATAATCGTATAGATTTCGAGTAGGTATACACTATGTCGCTTGTACGTGCTTTAATTTCATCAAGGCCTCTTTAAGAAAAATCTGTGAATACGTTTAACACGTGGACGTGAAGAATGAACTAAACACTCATATACTAAATCAAAACCTCTTATTAATTAATTGTAACTTATGTATATATCCTTTTTTGGTATATTATAGATATGTTTAACAACAACTTAATTGAACCATTTTTAAATTTATGTTTGAATAATCTGAGTTGAGAAATTAGCGGTAATTATGGAAACATAAAACCAATAAACTATTTGGTAGTAAACTTGCTAAATCTAACGCAGTAAACTAATACATTTTATGCTCTTGTTTCGAATCGTAAATTTTTAGTATGAAATATCGGCTTTAATTGGAAATAGGACCAGCTATATATTTTTTGTATTTTCCAGTTGAACATCGGCTGTGAATCATGGAAATCGACTCTAGTAGGCTGCATTCACAACGCCGGAATGATTGTTTCTATGTTGATAACTGGATTGATAGCTGACAAGTAAGTTGGAAATATTCTCATATTTTACTATATATACTTAGTTGGTAAGAGCAGTGTTGCTTCAGAGTGCGACTCTATTGCTCTCGGTGGATTTTCTATCTGCGCATTAAGCACTCGCTTGTCCCTACGGCGAAGGAAAATATCGTGAAGTCTTAGACTCAAAAACGGCGTATGTTATAGAAGACTGTTCGCCGACATGCACGCGCACGCAAGAATAGCTCGCAGATGGTAGATTTTACCAACTTACTTGATATTTTGGACAATTCACACAATTCTTTTAATTTTTTTTATTAATTAATTAATTGTAAATTAATTGTATGTAGCCTATGTGTTATTCTGATGTATAAGCTATATTATTATAAATTTTCATTAAAATCCATTCAGCAGTTTTTACGTGAAAGAGTAACAAACATTCATCCATACTTACGCGTCTTAATCTGAGCTAAGAGTTAAATTCAAAAAGATCAGATTGTAGTTGTTAATTATTCACGATATTTTATACCTTAATCACTTTTAAAGTCTTATTTAAGAATTTTTCTTTGCATTATTATTTTAATAGATAACTACTACTTTACTTGGGAGTATGTAATGACACTCTAAGAATTCCTTATCACCGGATTCGTGATCCATAAAAACGAATGATAACTAATTTGTAGAATAAATTGGCGCGCAATTTAGGTCACCGATACATTTATTTATTAACTGATAGTGCTATTAAACATAAAAACTATTATATGAAGTGACGAATATAGGGAGAAACGCAGTTCACAACTAAGATGTCCTAAGTTCGAACCACGGCTGCAACAATGATTTTTCTATTTAACAACGGTTATTCGGTTAGCAATTGCATGCTAAAAAATCATTTTGGTAAACTTGGGCGATGTACGGCATGTCTTTAAGAAAAAATATGTATGAAACAAATATGCAAAAACAATAGGTTGTAGCTGGATTATAATTACTCTTAAAAGGGTTTACATTTTTTATAGAACCGGGGGAAAATGGGCAGGAGACTCATCTGATGTTCAATAACGCCTCGCCCATGGACACTGACACCACTAGAAGGCTAGTGCTTCGCCGGCCTTTTTTGGAAGACGTTACCTTAATTTCTTATCTATGCTTAAATTTCAGGGTTGGAAGGAAACCGACTATAATCTTTTGCTCAATTGGTGGAATCGTTGGACTATTTAAGATATTTATTACCAACTATTACGCATATATAACAGTTGAATTTTTGGAATCAATTCTCGCTTCTGGGTTATATACAGTTGCTGTTGTTCTATGTAAGTTAACGTTAGGCCTTAGTAATACTCTTTCAGATGGTATTTTTTTATAATTTAAAAGTTTTATGACTGGCTATAATAGTTAATACCTAAGCACTTAATTTCATAACAAGAAAACTTACATGACTTTAATTACAATTTAAACTTAACCGACTTCAAATCGACTTCATTTAAATAAAAAAAAATATATTATTAAACACAATGTCTATTTTTCTATTTTAGTAACACAAGGCCAATGATTACTAATAAAAAAATATTCTTATTAAATACTGCCTAGTGTAATATGGATGTTTCATTCATTTGTTAAAAGGATATTTTTTTCCAGTAATAGAAGTTGGTGGAGAAAGCAAAAGAGTGTCAGCCGGTGTCATTTTCTCATACGCAGTTTACGTAGGAGAAGTTTGCTTTGCATTTATCGCAATGGGACTAAAATACTGGAAACTGCTCATTATAGTCGTCTACTCTCCATTAATCCTCTTCATCCTCTACGCATTTACACTAAGAGAGAGTACGAGATGGCAGATGTTAAGAGGAAAAATGGACGAAGCGAAAGAAACATTAATAATGATAACAAAGCTGAACAAACTAGAAGTAACAGAGCATGAAATTAATGAAACAAGCAATGAAGACTTGCGGTTCCAATTCAACGTAGTGGTACAAAAGGAGAAAGAAAGAATGAGAGACATATTAGCATCCAGGGAAATAATGACACGTTTATTAGTGACGTCATTCTGTTTCTTCGCTTCTAGTTTTATTTACTATGGAATGGCTGTCCACGCGGTTCTGTTACCAGGAAATAAATACACAAACTTTGTTCTGTCCTCGCTCTCATCTTTCCCTGGTGATTTAATAGCACTGTATACATTTAAAAGATTTGGAAGGAAGGTATCTTTACAATGTGGATATATAGCATCGGCGTTGTTCCTTTTAGCACAAACCTTTTCACCTGATTGTAAGTATTTTTTATCATTACTCTTATTATATACAGAACTGAACGGACCATTGGCCACAATCCCACCTGATGTTAAGTGAGATGTGGCCTATTGGACCTGTCCAGGAGATGCCTGTTTAACCGTCGCTTATATGAACCCTTATTACACTGTCTATTGAAGATAGAAGGAGGCAAACCACTTCTGTTTCACACTGTTCTGTTTTTACATGATTTTATTTGCTAGGGGATCGGAGAGAAAAGGCTCAGACTTCAAGGGTTTAAGAAAAAATAAGTACACACGTCCACAACATTGTCACCAATATAACATTGTGGCTAGATTAACAAAAAACTAACTTAATTTATTGAAGACTTCTTATCTAAGTGACACTTCTGTTATTGGACATTATCGGAAACGAGAATGTTAAATTACAGTTTATGAGTGTGATAAAAACTAAAGGGCTCATATTGGCTTCAAATGTGTGAAGATTGTTTACATTATGTTCGTTTACGCTTTTAATTATTACATAAAATATATATGTAGTTTAACTAATGTTAGGTTACATAACTCCCGTCTAAGACACAAAATATTGAACATTTAAAAAATAAAATTAATGGCCGGGCCATCACATTTCACAACAAATGTCAAAATGTGTTTCAGTGTAATTTTTTCTATAGAGTTTTATATTTTTGTTAGCTCACTAACGTACATTTGGTATAGTATTTTTACATCACATATTTTTTTAATTTTCAGCGATTATGTGGCTCAAGGTAGCGCTTTTCCTGTGTGGAAAAATGGGCGTAGTTATTTGTTTCACCGGCATCTATACATATACTTTGGAACTATTCCCTACAAGTGTGAGAGGGACTCTTATGGGCTGTGGAAACACAGCTGCCAGATTTGGAAGTATGCTGGCTCCTTTAACTCCACTTCTGGTAAGTGCACAGGTTGTTTCCTATTTCATCGTATTTATTTATTGCTGGGAGCGCTACGTTGAATAAATATTTCAAAACGTCAATATTATTCCCGATAAAATACCACACGACAGCCTATGCTACGGGATAATGTAGCTGTAGTCTATAGAAAAAATCGGTTCTGTAGTTCCGGAGATTACTTACAACAAATAAAGCCTCGGCTCCATAATGTTACTATAGCGACGCTGTTTTTAATTAGGCTAAAATAACTTATATCTCATTGATACAATCTCAAGAAAAAATAGGTCATTAGCATACTATATAACCTTTTGTTCCAGTAGGTAGTAAAATAGTCATAGATAAAAAACTATTACAGTCATGCTCGTACAGATCATTCACAATTTTCGAAACAAATGTTAAAAATATTATGTATAGTCTATAGTTCATTTGAACACACTTCTCTTCATTAAATACATGTTTGTGGCAGAATAAATTTATTTATAAATACAAATTTACATATATTTGTCACTTTAATTATTAGTATAATAAAAAGTGATAGCTCACTCAATACTCAAAATGTAGCAATAATTTAATTTTAGAAGGTTCTAGACGTATATGACGCTTTAGTAGATTTTTAATACAAAAGCATTGAAAAACGCCTTATAATTAGTAACCGTAAATTATTATTTAACTAACCATTTTAAACAAATTGCATACAATTTGTTTAAAAATAGATTCGGATGTACCTATTAGGATGTTATTGTCGTATATTTTGTAAAAGTTTTCTTAGAACTAATTACTGAATAATAATATATACCGTTATTATTAAAATTTGTATTTAAGTTCTTTGTTATATTTGTACTATCCTTAAGAAGAAACATGTGAAATCCCCATAGCAATAGTTACTTCAAATACAAGTAACTCTTCCTAAAACTGTGTAACTTTTTTGCAATCAGTTCATAAACTATGTTACCAGGTAATAAAAGCTTCAAAAAAATAAAAAAAATTGACCGTGTGTTTCGCCGGTATCGACCCCCAGGGCTGATTTACAGGGTAATTTACCTTAGCAACTGATTAACTTAGTGTTTTTGTTTCAGTCGTCACAATTTGCGGCGCTACCTTCAATTCTCTTTGCTTCGGTGTCTGTAGTTGCCGCATGTACGCTAACGTTTACACCTGAGACCAAAACGTTACCCATGTTCGACACAATAGCCCAGATTGAAACTCAAAAAACGAAGATTATGACTCATTTATAAACAGTTTAAATTATAAACTATTCAATAATTATAAATGTAATTACTTAAAAAGTTAACAGTGAAATTAACTATAAATACTTATTTTCTCAACTTTTTAAACTATAGTCAGAATAGATATCGTGTTGTTCAGAAACGAGATATAATACTGAGTGTGATTCCCGTATGTCAAAAACTTATTGGACTTCAACGTAGCCGGAGTTATAAGACGTGCTTATATCTTGTTATAGTCTTGTTTCTGAATCTTACCCCTAGTGCCTATATCTTCTTTGTGCCTATATAATAAATATTAAAAACCTACATAAAAAGTATACTTGTATAAGACTAGAAACTTTGTTGGGCAAATGTATTTAAAATGGTCACATGTATTGAATAAGGTAAAATTAAATTAGTGAATGAGTAATTTAAGAAGTATTTTAAGAATACAACAATTTTTATTGTTATTATATATATACATACAAACATTTGATTATATTATATATCTATGCAGTGTAGATGCGACAGATTCGCAAAAAAGTGTATCGTATAGACTATAATCGATTCATTTATTTAAAGTGTCTTGTAGAGTGTCTCTTGGCTTTATATTGTATGCTACAGTAAAACAGTGTTGCCACATATAGACTAGTATTTTAGAAAGTATGGAATGATACTATCTAATAAGCGATTTTTTTAATTTTGATAATTTAGATTATTAGAAATTTTGGTACGTGTTAGGAATACTTTAGGATAGTTTTGACAAATTATTTTTATTGAAGTTTTGTCGCATCTTCACCGAATAGCTTTATTCTAATTAAAACATAAAATAGTACTGCCTAAAATAAAAACAAATGTGCCAGCCAGTGCCTTTACAATTAATGGCATTGCAACCAAAGGGACCAATACTAACTTAATAAAATATTAAATCGCTATTAATAGCTCTAAATACATAGGTACATACATGTTATGAAATTGTAAATATTCTAAATAAATAAGGAATAAATTATATTGAATATTTTTATTTCTGTTTAATTTTTCTGTTTAATGTCTAGCCTTTTTTTGTAAAAATATAAAAAAAGAAAAGAAAAAAAAAGATAATTATGAAAAAATATTAATTAAAGAGAATTTATCTTTATTAGATATATTATGTATATCCTGTAGACAGATTTTGATGTCTGTTTTGTTTATATTCATGAGATATGAGTAGTCTCACTTCATGAATATAAACAAAACAGACACCCATCTCATTACTCTAGTTCTACCGGAATCTCATGGCAAATAGGGAAATTAAAAAATGTTATGGGCAATACTGGGGAAACTTGATTTAATGATCTTGATACTGTTTAATTTTCTCTCTCTGCTCTTTACTTTAAGTAGTTGACATTTACGCCAAACATAGGGTAAATCATTTGGACGGAGCCATTCTTTTATATCAGCTAGAGGATTGGCTTGTGTAGGCGGTTTGTTCATAAGTACGGAATGATAACTAGCATTATCCATAACAATTAATGAAGGTCTTTTTATAATTTGGAATTAGCATTTCTGTCACCCATTTTGTAAAATTCTCCTAATTCATATCGTGGTCAGCAGATACACTTGTTGACCTGTACACCGGACACCAATTTGGTACAAAATCATCTTCTCCAACAGCGTTTACAATGACCACGTCGCTCCAAGTGAGATACTTTTAGGTGGACCTACAATCTTTGCGTTGTCGCCCTTTTAAAAATCACAAAATCTCAGCTGCGGTTGACAGATCTCATAGGTACTTTGATTGGCGGGTGATACTCATTTTTTTATTTTTGTTTTATGCCATGAGATTCCGGTAGACCTATACCGTCTATTTGTCGTTGAAATGTAAAACAATACAAAAAAAAAGGGTGCGTGTACTTATGTACGCGCGTAAGAAGTTATACTTCTTTGGCATTATTAAAAATAGTTTTTGATTGCATGCAAATAATTAATTACAATTAAATAATCAAAGACTGGAAAAGGAGTCATTATAGTCAATTAAGTTCAGTTTACATTTGAAAAATTAAATAAATATGTAATTATTTATTATTATTCTCTTACATTAAGTGTAACATAAATTATATTTAGTTAAATTATTATATATTTAGAACATCTCTACCAAACACTAAGAAGTATGTTGTTGCTTTGGCAGTATTGCACAATATAAAATTAATAAATTTCTTTGAAAAAATAATCAAAACTCCTTTATTTGTTTAAAAGGTAAATGACAAATGTCATTATGGTCATTCAAAATTCTTGGCATACGAACTTCACGCATATTCTATTTCTTTTTACTTGTAGATTGTCTTATTCCTATCTCGCTCGCGCACGCTATAATCACACTCCCAATTTTGTGTCACAGGTGCGCGCGCATCGTAAAATTTCACTCTCATAAATTTTTCATAACGCGCCTAAAGAAGTATAACTTCAAAAACCCTTTAGCTTTTGAAGTAGCCTAAAACGCTTACTACAACTTAGCCTTTAAGATCTCCAAAAACAAAAAAAAGATACTTCAATAAAATTAAAATTTATAAGCTTTGTATAAATATAATACAAACATTGCAAAGTCACTATTCTGTATAAACTATTGTTAGCGGACCAACCCCATTTTTTAAAAAAACCCCTTTAAAACGGGGGAACCCCCCCCCGGTCCCCCCCTTTTTTCCCCCCCCCCCCCCCGGGAAACCCCCTTCCCCCCCCCCCCCCCCCCTTTTAGTTTAGGAGGGCCCCCCCCCCCCCCCCCCCCCCCTTTTCCCCCCCCCCCCCCCAGGGGGGGGTTCCCCCCCCCCCCCCCCCCCCCTTTTTTTTTTTTTTTTTTTCTTTTTTTTCCCCTCCCCCCCCCCCCCCCCCCCCCCCCCCCAAAAAACCCCTTTTAAATTTTTTTTTTTTTTTCCTTTTTTTTTTTTTTTTTTTTTTTTTTTTTTTCCCCCCCCCCCCCCCCCCCCCCCCGGGGGGGGGGGGGGGGGGGGCCCCCCGCCGGGGGCCCCCCCGGGGGGGCACGGCCGCCCCCCCCCCCCCCCCCCCGGCGGGGTTTCCTCCCCCCCCCCCCCCCCCCCCCCCCGGTCTTGGTGTTTTTTTTTTTTTTCCCCCCCCCGCTTTGGGTTTGTTTTTTTTTTTTTTTTTTTTTTTTTTTTCCCCCCCCCCCCCCCCCCCCCCCCCCCCCCCCCCCCCCTCTTTTTTTTCCCCCCCCCCTCCCCCCCCCCCCCCCCCCCCCCCCCCCCCCCCCCCCCCCCCCCCCCCCCTTCCCCCCCCCCCCCCCCCCCCCCCCCCCCCCCCCCCCCCCCCCCCCCCCCCCCCCCCCCCCCCCCTCCCTTTCCTTCCCCTTTTTTTTTTTTTTTTTTTTTTTTTCTTTTTTTTTTTTTTTTTTTTTTTTTTCCCCCCCCCCCCCCCCCCCCCCCCCCCCCCCCCCCCCCCCCCCCCCCCCCCCCCCCCCCCCCCCCCACTATAATATAACCAGAATCTATGATTATTATAAATTCCATTCACCGTCACTTTGCTTCAAAATCAGACTGTGCCGTCACTATGATCTGTATTTGTATTGTCAATTTGACGATTTACCGGTTACCTTGCTCAAAAATTCAAATCATAATAACCAATATAACCTCTATACTGGAAACGTGATAATTATTTAGAGCTGTACCAATAATATTTGTGATCCAAGTGATCAGATATTTTAGTACTAACTTATTTAGACATGACTGGCTACGAGGTTCGACATTCAAATGCTCGAAAGGTATCGTTACTTCATCAAATCCAATATAATGATTAAACACTGAATGTCGTGGGTTTTCTGAGCTTGTATATTTAATTATAGGGAAAGGGTTTATATGCAACAAAACAGTATAATGTAGGAGATGTAATATTAGAAGAGGATCCGTTGGTGTCATGTCAATTTACATGGAATGCTGCGTACCGGTATCTGGCTTGTGATCATTGTATGAGGTACATTAAATAATGATTAATTAACTATTAGACAAATAATTTCTTTCTATAACTGTAATTTAGTATGTATGTGTCCATATCTTTTATACAGGTAATTATTATTTTGGAGCTGTATAAAGTAATTGTATTTATTGTGTGTGAAATCATGCACAGTGTAAATTAGTAACAATGCCATTTTGTAAACTCAGGGAGATTCAGTCCTTGTCAAAAAAAATCTTGTTATTTTAAATATGCTGTTGTATTAAAAGATTTTAGAGAGTCTTCTTAATACAATATATAATAAATTATGAAGTCACAACTTCGTAGTATATTTTATTGTCAATTTAATACTTTGTTGTACAAAAATGTGTACCATTAACTAATTCTAATTTCAGGCCTCTTGAGACACCAGAACAAAATGTTAGAAGACTAGCTGTAAAACCAGACATAGCATTACCCCACTCAGATGGTTTCGAAGCCCCCCTAATGGATATGACAAGTTGTAATGCCTGTGGTGTGCTGTACTGTTCTGATAGATGTAGGGTAAACGCTAGTGTCAGTTACCATAGATCATTGTGCTATGATCAATCTGATGCTAGGCACCCCATACATATCTTGCTAGAAGCTTGGAAGTAAGTAGCCTTTACTTGTTATGTTCTATAGATTGATATTATAAAATGTCTTTATAAATGTAATTTTAACTTGCCAGCAAACAATATATTCCATACAACATACATAAATTATTCATGTAAATAAATTCTACTCACTGTATACGTAATATTAGAATCTGTTATGAGTGTAAGCTATAAGAATATTCCCATATATGTATGTTGTACTTTATGAAGAATGTTAATTCTTAAACTTACTTACCTTTATTTCCTTTTGATAGAGATGTATTATTAAATTTTTGTTACAGACAACTGCATTACCCACCCGAAACAACAAGTATCATGCTGTTGGTTAGAATATTAGCATACATTAAACAACATCCTGATCCTGCAATGGCTGCTTCCAACATCAAACAGTTTTGCCATAGAACCATTAATGAAGACGCTGAATTGATGCACAAATTGCTTGGGGATCAGTTTAAAGATCAGCTCAATACTTTAAGAGATTTGACAGCAAATGTAATTAGTGGAGATTATGTTGAGGAGGTAAGTTTTTATGTTGCTTAGTATAATTGGTGTGGGTATTATTGTGTAGTTCTATTGAATTAGTAGTAATTGTTAAGATAGAATAATGATGATGTGTAATAAATAATTGACTAAATTGAGTTGAGTAGAGTTGCCTATCAAGACAAATGAAAGAGTTGAAGAAATGTGTCTGCTACTTGCCCATTTCAATGCCTACTTGACTTCATACATATTCTTAAAAAGTGGTAAAAATTAAAACAGACTTCTTTCATTTAGGAAATGCTAAAGAGCTACTTTTACTGGGCTTTTTAATCATACCTGCATTATTCCTAACAATTTGAAATAATTAATATTGACAATTGGTTGTTGCAAAGCCATGAAACCATTTGGATAAAACACTAATTGAGTAAATTGAGATAACTGACTGTTTGAGTTTTTTTGATCATATTTACACATTTTTTAGTTTCTATCACCTGAAGGCTTTTGTACCCTTATGGCTCTGGTTGGTACTAATGGCCAGGGAATCGGTACAAGTCCCCTTGCACAGTGGGTACACTACGTATCTGAGTTGGCCATGTCTGATGATGAGCGGCAACAAATGGATCTATTTATTGACAGGTTATATAAGGAAGTTGAAAATGGTAAGAAAATATTTTAATTACATCTAGTAGTATAAAATAATTATCTCAAGAGTAGCTCTATTCCGAGTTCAAATTTTAAATGCTAACATTTGCATAAATATTTATATAGCAAAGTTTTTGCGGGTACCAAGGATGCTATAATATTTTTGTATGAATATTTTAGGCAGTCATTTGTGGATGATAATTATTTTATTAGGTTATTCAAATAATTTCGCGCTTCTCAAGTTTTTATACAAAATAAATATTTTACTGTGCTATTATTTTAGCTTTGTTTTCTGTGTACTGGGTAATTTAAACCTAGTTTGTGGAAAATATTATTTAAGACATAAGTACATGTTAGTGCTCTTTGAGAATATAAATAATTAATGTTTTTAGTCTTATTAAGAAAATTGTGCTGCTTTTTATGCAGATATTAAGTTATTTTAAAACCCTTACAATTGTAGAAGCTGGACAGTTTCTCAACAATGAGGGTTCCGGCCTTTATCAGTTGCAAAGTGCAAGTAACCATAGCTGCACGCCTAACGCAGAGTCTACTTTTCCTTTTGGAAATCATCGGATCCAATTAAAAGCACTCAAAACAATTGTGCCTGGAGAAGAGATTTGTATCAGCTATTTAGATGAATGCTCCTTACAACGCTCGAGGCATTCTAGACAAAAGGTTTGTTTTTTTATTTTTATTTAAGTTTCTATTATAGCATTAGAACTATTTGGTCTTGTCCCGACCCCACACAAAAGCAACTGAAATACATAAGGCAGCAAAGCAAAACCTTTTGGGTAGAAACTAAATGTTTAAGCCGTCCATACAGTTAACGCTAGATGGCGGGAATAATAAATTTGTGAGATTCAAAAACATGTCGCTAGATGGCGTTGTACTACACTAGAACAGTTTTTAAATTAACTAATTGCTAGTCGTGTCTGGTTTACTGATGTTATTGCGTGGTCGCAGATCTCAATCAGATATTAATTTCATTGAAGAAGTTTCTAGATATATTAACAATTTATACTTATGTGAATTATTGTTTTTTTATAGGAGTTAGCCGAGAACTATCTCTTCCTATGTGGTTGTGAAAGGTGCGTATCTGAGAGCAGTCAGCCGGACGTGACAAGTGAAGAGGAGATGAGTGAAGAAGAGATTGACTCGGATGACTGATGCTCTAACTTGCTGGCATTCTGTTTGCTGGGACTGTGAATCAGTGAAACTTAGTGCTCCAATATGGACTTATTAATATATTAATAAAAATACAAATACTAAACGTCAAACTAATGATATTTGAGGTTATGTCGAGTTGTGGGTGACTTTTTTTCCCTCTACTTAGTCTACCTCCTGTGCGTCATTGACCATGTGTCATCTTAATAAAATATATATAGATATGTTATCAAGTTCCTTCCCTACTTCCTTAGTTTATCCAATAGACCCTTGATAGAAGGTAAACAGTATGCTCATACATCCTTGTCGAACACCTGACTCAGTTTGGACTGAAGAGAAATCATCTGTATGCATCGATATAAAATATAATTAGGTTTAAAGTATAACTGTTTCGAATTAAAATATTGTATAAATGCATTTTAAATGCGGAATATTATTTAATTGCTAAACAATTGTTAGTAATTGTCTATGGCCTAAAATATGTAGGTTTATTAAGTGTTAAAGTTTGCATTGTTTAGTGTTTAGTATTAATGCTTAAACAATTTGACAGAAAGTTAGTATAGGCGCGAACTTATTATAGCTCATTGCCAGGGTTGCCATATAATAATTTGATACAATTGTGTATGATGCGAGGTACAAAGATACGCATACCCCCACTTATACGTTTACCATAGAATTTGTTACTTTTACGATAACTAATCGATTTTACGTATTGGTCGAGCTAAGATTTGTTGTGACAGACTCTTCCAAAGAGAAGAAAAAATATAAACAATATTTACCTATAACTCGTCGGTAAGTTAAAGCATGCGTGCGTATGCACGTGTACGTGAATGTTCGTGTAAAATTGTCTTTTGTCTCCGTAAATTGTCTTAGATTACACTTTTCGTATTCTCTTTACCGTAGATATAGGCGAGAAATTAACTAGGAATAAGTGTTGAAAAAATTAAAACTAGATAAAATTTGTATTAGTGTTAATGTGATAATCAAGGCCTAAATGTCGGTTATTATAGTGTATTTAAAAATAAAGATAACTTTGTTATAGTTATTTAATCGTAAAATACTGTATTGTATTTGATACATTTTAGTAGACATTTCAATCTGATCATAGGCATAATCTGCCTGCAACCTAACAAGTCAATTAAAAAAAAACCCCAATGCATTGACATTTTGCTATATATTTTAGTACCACAAGATTGTTTAATTTATATAGTACAAGTAAAAGGGATTATTCGCAATGAATAATATGGCTTATTTGTAACCTGCAAAATGGCGGCTTAGTTCGTATATCATTACGTAGGGTTAAATATACATTATTACGTGGGTTCGAACGCCAAATTTCGAAAGCAATAAAATATTTCAGAAAATACATAACCCACTAAGCACTATTCATGTTCAATTAAACATACTAATTGCATCTCTTTATGAGTTAATAATAAAATACAGAGCAATATTACATTACTAAAATTAAGATACTTAAACAGAGCAATGTTTGGAAATCATAGACTATAGATTTTATATAGGTTGTAGTTATAGATGTCATTCAATGTATAATTATGCATATTGTATTATTGCATGTTATCAATAAAAATATAATCTGATATTTGGTGTTTACATTCAATATTTCGCCTCTCAAAATCGAAACTAAAAACCCCACTGACAATCCCTAACAGAAATTCGTTAATATAATCGAATTTTGATCAAATATTGAAATCTTCGGTCATTCCTAAAGAATTAAACGCCCCAAAAGCCCACAAAGGAACGGAGGGCTGTAATGTCAAAGTGCAAATTCGCAAACGAAAATTGAATTGAGAAAACAAACGGGACCTCGGGAAACATCTTAAAGTACTTTAACTATATTATGTAGGACATCAAGTCGTATTAAATTTTTCATTTTTATTCTTGCGGCATGACGGTTGGAATTCCTGTGTCTTTGATCTAAACAGGAAAAAGATGGACGAAAATGCACTTCAGCTGTCTTCATAAAGGGGAAAAATATAATTTATTCACGAGATAATTTTCTCCCTGTAAGATGTTGAACCGGGGGAATGAATGTTTGTACTGCAGAGACGCCTCTAATGGTATACTTTGACCGGTCTTAGTGCGAGGATTTCTTTTTATAGGTGTTTTAGGTTTATACATTTTATAAATTAAGGTATTTTTGACATAAAAAGCGAGACCCACATGAACCATTGTTACGATATTACTGATAACAAATTATTTAGCAGTTATCAATTGTATATTAAATAAATAATTATAATTATTGTATAGGAAATAAATAAAGTAAAGGTTTATTTTATTTCCTACCTACAATAATTATAATTATTTATTTAATATACAATTGATAACTGCTAAATAATTTACTATACATTTTATAAATTAAGGTATTTTTGACATAAAAAGCGAGACCCACATGAACCATTGTTACGATATTACTGATAACAAATTATTTAGCAGTTATCAATTGTATATTAAATAAATAATTATAGTTATTGTATAGGAAATAAAATAAACCTTTACGTTTATTTTATTTCCATTTTACATGTTGATCGTTAATATAAATAAAATATCCAAACATAAAATGTTCGAATTGCTCGAATAATCTGTATCAGCTGACCCGCGTAACGTCCCTTGAATTCGTACAGGCGACAAATAAATTTTTGTATTGTTTCAAATACCTGAAACCTATGTGCGTATTTAATTTGAATCGTTTTCAAAATAGCATTCATATTTCCGAGAAATATGATGTATCCGTGTCAAATATAGACAGATTTATTTATGCGCGCTTATTATTGTGCGCTTGACGCACCTAATGTTTAGAAATTTAAGGGTAGAGGTTAAGGTAGCCCCTAGAACTAAGGTAGTTTTATTGTACGAGCTCAAGCAACTCTAGAATCTTTCTCTAAATATGTGTTTACACAGTCATATTTTAAGAAGTTATTAATTAACATACCTACAAATAACTTAAATATTAATATTTGAATACAAGATTTCATTATTCTAGTCAAAATCCAATCCAAAATAAGACCATCTTCACAAAATGCCTTCCCTGCTACTATAACGCAAATTGTCTTGAAATATCGACTACAAAAACGTTTTTATTTCAGTAAATATCTCGTTTATGAGCTATTTTCCTTAAATAAACGAACGTAACAATATTATATTCATGAAAAGCAACGTTAATAGTACTTTCGTGTTTTTACTGGTTTGCATTTGCATAATTATTGTATTACCAAAAAATGTGGTTAAGAATAGAAAACATAACCTATTTTTCACCAAATTTGTCTACAAATAATCAGGCTTTGTCAGAATTGTTCTCTTCCCAAATTTATTAATATTCATGGTGACGTAATTAACGGTTCAATGATATATAGGAGAAATCAAGAAAAATAAATTTATTTTCATTTAAAGAATATATCTGTACTAAATAAAATTGATATGTTTTGCCAATAAGAAAAAGGTTGTATAAATAATACAGATTTTACATCTTAATACTTTTTTACTTGTTATGAATATTATTAATTTATTTATGAGTGTTCTTACAGCTTACATACATATTATAAAAAAACACTTAGACATACATTATACAAAGCCCAATCAGATTACATAGATAAAGAATATATATAAAATAAAAAAAACATAAGTAAGTACATTAATATACAAAAAGAAAAAAAATTAAAGAACACTGAAATTTAACACTAAAGAAAGGACAATTAACACTTAATATTTCAAAGAAAAAAATACTTCCCGCCTCTTCAAATATTTCCTCACATCCTCTTTGGTGAGGTGGAAAATATTAATATCCTCATAATTAGTGTCACAGTCAGATAAAACTCGAAACATTGGCGAATTATGCAGGTAATTCGTGTTCGTACGAGGCACAGGAACTATTGTGAGTATCTTGGTGCATATGGTGGAGGGATTCTTAAAGAAATTAATTAAATGATGATCAAATTAATATTCAAAGAAGATATATACATATGTGATAATAATGTGAAATATACATTTCCACAGTTTGCTAAAATGCCATACGAATATGTTAGGTGAACCATTTATCGTAATTTGCAGTTCCTAGTTGTACCCTATTAATAGGGGACCAAAGCGCTTTGCTGGGACTATCCTAATAACGCCGGATATGGCTTTGAGGGCCAGATTTAAATTAAAATCGTCTCTTTGAAGAAATAGCGGCAAGGGTATCTAATTGTGATCCATTCAGAATATTGGCCTTCGAGCGGGTTGTGAATAATTGAAGAAATTTTATATTCGGATGCCTTTCGTCCTCTGTTATTGAGTTAGAGCCGGTGAAGGCACGGCAAATTGCTTTGACTAATGAAAAATTCTGTGATGAAACGTTGCGGTTCTTGAATTTATTGCTAAAATTATTATTTTACGTTCCGTCATCATTTCGTCTTTGCTGGGAATGAGATACTTTTGATTCTGTAATGGTTTCTAATTTGAAATATTAATTTGTAGTCGTCACGAATAAACTAGGTGGAATTTAGCGAAGTGGTGCGAGATTCTCCAGCTTGTTCAGGCGTTTGAGTCTTAGCTGTATATCAACGGATATATCTATTCTTCACTTGCCCTCTATTATCGTTAGGATACCGGCATGTCTGAACCCAGAAATCTTGGATTATTATTGTTTAAAGATGCAATGGTAGAATAACAATGTCAAATATTACTTATGATTAACTGAACATCTTATGGATCAAGTATCGAAGTCATATTTTGTAAATTTACATACATACGTCCGCACGATCATGTCGATCTAAATTCCAATTTGGTTATTCATGGCGTCAATCGGCTTGGACTAACTCCTATATCTAGATATCCGGTGCGTCTAATTATTATACGGTAAGTCGAATTAGTTCCATGATAACTATCTATAGTTTAAAATAAATATGTAAAGTAGTACGTAATAAATTTGTAAATTTAGCGTACAAGAGCGTGTAGACACAGGTGTTGTTCAACCAAATAAGCCATCAAACAAGAAAGCAAACAGGCAA